AAAATACTTGATGGTTATTTAGCTGGCACCAACAGCATTTTATTCCAGAGGATGGAACACATTTTTTCTGACCTGACCTTGCTTTTAACGTGCCCACAGATCCAACGCGCGGGTGCCCCAAAAGCGAAGCGCATCTGCATTTCCTCTTGTGCGGGTAACAGCAGTAGAAAGCCTAGAAGCGACATCTGTCGCTGAAATGGAGAGCTACTCTGACACGACTGATACGCCGACGAGGACAGAGGTTGAGATGGACTCGACAGATGCGACGACGTCGACGGCCGACGCCGAAAGCAGTGCGAGAAATGATGTCCACGTCGACGCCAAGGATTCAGTGGTTATTCTGATTTCGAAAACGGTAAGATGCAATCGGAGAAATATTCGCTTTACAAGATTTATCCGATTCTCTCTCTCAGTACGTACGGAATAGCACATCATAGAAAGACAATGATCTCAGTTTGGCGGGCTAAAAATTGTCTTGTCCACCATTTGCTGTTGTCGGGATTTTTATTGTCTTTCTGAAATTATGTTGACGTGCATAATTTTTTCATTATCTTTATATTTCGCCTTTTCCTGGAACAATGGTGTTACTGTGCTGTACGTCAATAACAAAATCTGATTTATTTCCCATGAAAGACACTTCCGGAAAATGCGTAAAGGTAAACCGTTGCAGAAAAAATCCACCGTTGAATTCGTATAAAGACACTGGCTCAACTGTTTTTCTTTCTTCCTTGACGTGTCTACTTTACTAAACCTAATTGACTAAATTAAATGACATAAACAACAGAAATAAAGCTGATGTACGTTCATATTAGCTTAGCGCTTTTATTTATTCGACACATTTATGCACTTGGAGTTTGGAAAATATTCACCAAAGCATTAACATCGACCGCTTGCTTAATTTAAAAAGTGAACTGTATTATGAATGTTTTTTCAACGAAATTTGTACTTTGCATCTCGGTTCGAAGACGGAGAAGCCGGAACAATCATCTGGGGAACAATTGGCAGAGAATGAAACCAAGCAGTCCTCTAAAAGTACTAGGCCCACGGTACTTTATTTGAAGACTCGCAGCTCCATCAAATATCGCTACGCCGTGACGGAAACAGTGTCGAAAGTACTGAATCCCCTGTCGTTTAGGTTACTCTAGCAGAAGAGCAACTGCAACGGCCTTAGGCGGAAGTAGAGGTTCAAAAGGTACATTCTTTTTATTATATCCAAACTATACTTTCAAAAAAAGATAGCTAGTAGTTGATCAATCTTTTTTTTTTGATGACCTGCGATTTTTTCTTATGCTTATCGAAAGAGCAGAATAAAAATCATCAACATATAAGCAAGTACGTGAAAGAGGAAATATCGAAACATTTACGGTTGCACTCATTTTGAGTCGGAATCAGCAAAAAATTCGGTTTAGGAAGGTTTCGAGTTGATGAAACACGGAAAATATAAAAAGTTTGCTGGAAGTTGAAATTGGTGATATTATGGGCCTTGAAATGCTTTTTCAATGAGTTGACAGGATCTGCTGAGCTTGAAGGCAATGGTTTCTTTTCTCAATTAGTCTTTAACTGCCTTTCAAAAGCATGTAGAAACATTTTTACTGCTGTTCTCTTTCCGGCGTTACAAAATAATTGCCAAAAGGTCTCCAGAAAATTCGAGTTATGCAGGCCTTGGAGCTAAAGATAATTTTAATGATTTGTTTCTCAAGAGGATTCAGACAGGGACTTTGAAAATTTTGACACAGGAAGTTAATCGACTTGAGGAGGTTCATCTGTAGTTTTCAAAAGGGTTGGCAAGGTTGCATTAGGTTGAACTTATCTGGTTTTTTCATTGGCCTTCCGTGCTCACTCTTTCATGCACTAGCCGATTTGATATGAGTTTCTCCATTCACATCATCTGACGTGCTTTTGTGCTTGTTGATTTCGCAGGGAAATCGACCACGTTGTTTACGAAGCAAGCGTGGAAAAGAAGGAGAAAGCGAAAGAAGTGTATGACGCTGCAGTTCAGGCGGGACAAAGCGCAGCTTTAGTTGCCGTCAAGTAAGCGCAATTTCCCTTCACTGCTCGCCGAAATTCGTATGACCCACGAGAAAAAAAAAAAGTATTGAGACTCGGAGAAAGCGTGCATTTGTGCGTATTAAGATCAAGAAAGCTTTCTTCAACTGCTCAAGAACTTCCGCGAAAAAAGGTGACGAGTTCCAAGAACTGGGTCACCTAATTCTTAGGTTCAGTTCAGTACTGTACTGTACTCCTTCGCGATGGTTTTCAAAATGAAGAAAAGGTCATCAGCTTTGTTTTTTTCCAATTAAAACAATTACCTTGTGTGCCGTCCCAGAGCATTCCGATCTGATTTCTAGGAGCACTGTTCTGGAGGAATTTTTAGCCCTGGTATTGGGAAGACATTTGGCGAGTTATTTTTTTTGCAGTTAGCAACCTGTCAAATAAGACGGGCCTCACAACTGGAATACACTTCGAAGTAAAATAATGAATTGCAATGCGTGGGTAAAAATCTCTGTAGGGCTTTTCCGTGATAGGAGTTCCGTCAAATTTTGTTTCCTGTTCCTTCCAAATTATCTCCAATCCAGGTCATATTTTCTAGCCTCCTCGGTTTCATGTCACCTCACAATTTCATGATTTAAAAAAATGGCATTTGCCGTGATTCACGGATGTAAAAAATAGTTCCTGCCATTTCCCTAGCCTTCAATTTTATTTTTCTTCAGTTCATTTTGCTTAAACAGCAGGGAAGTCCACTGGAAAGACAGACCGAGCCCACGAACTAGTGTTGGATGTGGAGGAAGATTAAATCGAAATATTTTGTGGCTAGAAATGAGAAACCAAGATTATTATCTGACGTTTATCATCAATAATGATTTAAATGAGTCAACAAATCACCGACGTGTCTTCAGCGACGCGTCAGTAATTTCTCCAATAAAGGGATTTTTAATCAGCAGCAAAATGCTGCAGTCCTAAATCAATTTTCTTACCTCTTTTCTTTCAGCCCAAGAGATTCGACACGTTTCAGCGTCTCGGTCAACGTCGGCGCAAAAGAAAAGGTCACGTTCACACTGATTTACGAAGAGCTTCTTCTGCGGCGAAACGGTTTCTACGAGCAGCGAATCAATTTAAATCCAGGCCAGGTCAGTCTTTTCAAGGACCACAAGAAAAGGGGTTTCATGAAATGAAGCTTTTCATCGGTTTATCATTCAGTTTACAAAGCGAAATTGTTCATAATTGGAAACGAAAAAGCGCGCGTAAATGAAAATTTTTTGCTGTACGCGTATAGTCGTAGCCTCTCGGAACCCGCTGCAACCTTTTCCTTTATGCACTGGAATCTTTTTTTTTTTTTTTTTGGTGTTTTTT